GCGATTAGAATGCTTTGGGAGATGACCGCCGCCAGTTTGAGTGTTGCCAGTGGCCACTGCATGTAAAATTACTGTGTTTCATTTTCTAGGTGATTCTGATATCATCAGGAGCATGCCAGAACAGACTGGTGAAAAGTAAATCATGCAAAAACTTTCTGTAATAAAATCAGTTATTTTAAAAACACTGGTGTCCCGGTTACTTTGTTTTTTGTTTCGGGTGGGGGTGTGGCTTGAGACCACGCTGCCTGTGCTCAGGGACTCCTGTTCTACACTCAGGGTCACTCCTGCCAGTGGTCAGTCAGGGCAGCCTAGGGGACCTCGGGGATAAACCCCCGCCCAGGCCAGCCATATGGAAGGGACGTACCCTCCTGCTGTACCGTCTCTGCGGTGTGTCGCTTTCTTGATACGGCGGGAGTGTTTCCTGAAGTAACGGTTACGGTGAGTCTTCTAGGTTGACCTCATATCCCAATTGCAAAGGGGGTAACAATGTCTGCCATTCCTGCCTTAGCGTGTTTGGGAGTGGGGTTGGCTTGGGGGCCGTGGCGTGGGACTGCTGCCAGCTATTAGGCTGATCGGGGCAGTGCTCAGGACCATACCCAGAGCTCCCGAGTGCAGTATGTGCACCGCCCTTGAGCCATCTCAAACCAAGCGTAAGATAATTTTTATCATTTCTGTCTTAGGACACGTTGGTGCTTTTTCTTTTGGTGTGGGGAAGCACAGCTGACTGTTGAGGCGTATTCCTGCCTCTGCTTGAGATCCCTCCTGGTGAGGTTCAGGGTACGGCCCACCGGACCCACCGTACTCTTCCAGCCTCAACATTCTCGGCGTTGTCACTTCAATGTGGAACTGGAGACGGTGGGCCGGAGCAGTAGTGCAGGTGGGGCGTTACCCGGCATCCCAACCAGGGTTCCTTGGCACCGTGAGGTTCCCCGAGCCTGCCAGCAGTGGTCCCGAAGTGCAGAGCCAGGAGTAAGTCCTGAGCACACTGGGTGTGGCCCCCAAACAAAAAACTGCAGGGACCACAGTACACGAGGAAAGAGGTTTCCTGCATGCCTTCAGCACCACAGGGGCCCTGCCAGGCGTGCTCCGACAGGCAGGCTTCAACATGGAAGTTTCACTGTAAGCTGGTGCTCAGTCCGGAGAGCTACCTGTGTCTGGCTGGCAGCTTTCTACAGCTACTACTATTGTCTCTGCTACCTGTTTACCTCCAAAGCAATCATGGGGTAAGGAAAGCAAGAGGAGCTTTGTGGAACCATTGGGGCTGCTGGGGGAAGCGGGTATTTGAGTGCTTCGAGGTGTTAGATGGTTGGAGAGGGAGTCCAGGGACCCGGATTGCCTGCTTCTGGCTGTGACATAGGGAACTGCACGTGGTGGATTCTGGGCACCACTGGGTATGGCCCCCAAAGCAAAATGAAAATAACAAGGATTCCCGTGATACACAGTGTGTAGGACACCGCTTTGCACATGGCTGACCCAGACTCCATCTCAGCTTCCCACAAGGCCCTCCCAGCACCATCAGGAGTAGCCCAGTAGCCCCTGGGTACTGAGTGTGGCCCCCAAGCCAAGGGAATAAACTATTTTGGTTTGGAGGCCACATCACACCCCGTGCTTAGGGATCATTCCTGGAAGCTTTGGGGGCCCTCTTTGGTGCTGGGGATGGAATCCGAGTCAGCTTACCCACTGGATGATCCAGCCCCTTGATGTCTGTTTGATTCTCTGGACGACCCATTGAGATAGGAGTACCATTAGTTCCGTTTCACTTTTTTGTTTTGTTTTTTTTGGGTCACACCGGCGATGCTCAGGGGTTACTCCTGGCTCATGCACTCAGGAATCACTCCTGGCGGTGCTCGGGGGACCATATGGGATGCTGGGAATCGAACCTGTGTTGGCCATGTTGGCTGCGTGCAAGGCAAACGCCCTACCCGCTGTGCTATCGCTCCAGCCCCCGTTTCACTATTTTTGTAGTGGCCAGCGAGTGGGGGCTGGGGCGGGGGAATCACACTAGCAATGCTCTGGGGTCACTCCTAGCTCTGCACATCAGGAATTAACTCCTGATGGTGCATGGGGAAACCATATGGAATGCCGGGGATCAAACCTGTGTCAGGTGCAGGCTGCACTCTCACTCTGGCCCCTAGTTCCACGTTAGAGCTTAGTAAATCAAGGGTTGGAAAGGTCACAATAAAACTGGGATGAAAAAGTACCGGAGACCGACAGGGCAAACAAGGAGACTAGGGAGACCAGCTTTTCCAGTCAGCAAATGAATGGCCTTCCATGGAAGCCTTGTTTCCCGGACTGAGGCCTTCGCCTTCCCCAGCAGGGCGAGGTTCGAGGTTCGGGCTTCAGGCCGCTAGAGGGAGCGCCACTCCGCCGGAGACGGGGCGAAGTGGGAACTCCTGTCACATCCCCAAAGAATGCAAACCCCAGTCGGTCCTGCTTGAGAAAACCTGTTTGCAGCATCAAGCGCATGACTCAGATGGGAGGACTGGCAGGAGATGGAATGCCTTGGATCACGATTTTCGGGACTTTGGGCCTGTGATGTTCTTCCCACAGGACCACCCTGCCCGTGGCGAGGGTCTGCAACAGTCCTCCGCAGACAGGCGTTCTGTTTGGCATCAGCTCAGCAGCTCCCCTGGGAAGGATGTCATTTGGGTTGTTTTGTTTTGTTTTAACTTCTTTGTTGAATCACTGTGAGATAGACCCTTACCAAGCTGTTCATGACTGGGTTTCAGTCAGACAATGTTCCACGACCCATCCCAGCACCAGGTCCCCAGGTTCCCTGGCATAGGCCAGGTGCTTTTCTTCTCTTTCCTTCTCTTTCCCTCTCTCCCTCCCTCTCTCTGTCCTTTTGGGCATTGTGGTTTGCAATATCAATACTGAAAGGTTATCAGAATATCCCTTACCTACTTTCAACCCTCCGTGTTTGATAGGCCAAACACAGTAACAGCGAGTCTCACAATTGCCACTGGGCCCGCTCGAGCAAATCGATGAACAACGGGAGGACAGTGTCAGTGACTTTTCACCCTCAGATTTTGTCTCGCGTGCTCATTCCCAGTATTACTGTCATACTGGCCCCGTCTCGATCTTATCTACCCTCAGCTCCACGGTTAATTTCAACCACTGACCAGTCCTCCTAACTCATTTTCCCTGGCCACGGATATTCATCTTCTACTATATATTTTATATCCCACAAATGATAGCACAGCGGGTAGGGCGTTCGCCTTACAAGCGGCCAACATGGCCGACCCGAGTTCGATTCCTCCGCCCCTCTCGGAGAGCCCGGCAAGCTCCCGAGAGTATCCGATATGCCAGACACAGTAACAACAAAGTCTCCAATGGAGACGTTACTGGGCCCGCTCGAGCAAATCGACGATCAACGGGAGGGCCTTTACCTTTACCTTTACAAATGAATGCAGTCATTCTAGATCTGTCCTCCTGACTTTTTATTGTTGGAGGGACCATTCCCATCATTTCCGATATGGACCCTGGACACACAGCGTGGAGTCTTGGTTAACAGCATCCCTGGCCATGTTTCAGATTTGGGGTCATACCCGACAGGGCTCAGACGGCTCCTGGTGGTGCTCGAGGGACAGGGTGCTGACTCAAAGCCAGGCAGGCCTGTCCCGGTCACAGCATGGACTCCGGCTGTCCAGCTCTCTAGCCTCGTCTCAGATTTGTGTTTGGGGGGGCACACTTGGTGATGCTCAGGGCTTACTCTTGCCAGTGCTCGGTGGACCATATGGGATGCCGGAGACTGAACTAAGTCCGCTTCGCACAAGGCAAGCACCCTCCTGTCCATTCTACAGCTCTGGCCCCTCGCTTAGGTTTACTGTTTGGGGACGAGACCCAGCAGTGCTCAGGAGCTGTTCCTGGCTTTGCCCAGGGTCACCTGTGCTGGAGAGCAGAGGGGTCGGCCTTAGGTGTCTGCTCCTGCCGGCCTTGGGCTTCCTTAGAGAAGCCTCCAGCCCTGTTCCTCGTGGATCGAAGAGCTGACAGCTGAGGCCGCCTTGCTCCGACTCTCTTCCCACTTCTTTCTCCCACAGGGACCACCAGTCGTTCGAGATGTATCCTTCCAGAATGCTCATTCTTCATATACGATTTACGTATTTTTTTTTGCGGTGGATTTTTCTTTTTTTTAAATAAATGATTTGCGGGGGCTGAAGCGATAGCACAGCGGGTCGGGCGTTTGCCTTGCACGCAGCCGACCCGGGTTCGATTCCCAGCATCCCATATGGTCCCCCGAGCACCGCCAGGAGTGATTCCTGAGTGCATGAGCCAGGAATAACCCCTGTGCATTGCCGAGTGTGACCCAAAAAAGCAAAATAAAATAAAACAAATGATTTGCTTTGAAAAATACAGAAACAGACACCTCTGCGACCAGCTTTCGAGATGCGTCTCTGTGAGTTGTACGTTGGGGTTTTCAGCACATTCCTCTTATAGTGCTCATTTCCTCCCTCTGCCCGGCTTTTCAGTGCAAAATTTCGCTGTAGCTACTGTGGTCCAGTCTGTCTGTTCTTGAGGCTTTCTTCACCTTATTTGGGGGTGGGGGGCAGGCAGTCACACTGAGGGAGGGAGCCGGGGGTGGACAGGGGCCTGTTACAGACAGACTCAGGCCTTGTTTTCTACTTTGTTGCTTTTCCAAATTCTATGAATCTGCTTGTCTAGAGGCCCTAAATCCCCCTCCCGCCAGAGCCAGCCGCACTGAGAGTAAACAGGTTGTTCACAGCCCCGTTTCCAGAGTGAGAGTACGGGGCTGCGTTGCAGTTACTGGAGATCAGAGGGGTCCGCGGAACCCGTCCACACACATTCTCACAAGCAGGGATCAGGGATCCCCCATTTCCACACCCAGAGCAACATTCTAGGACGCCCCGAGTTGGCCACGCGGAACCTCTGTTTTCCTGAGCGCCTGCGAGGTGCACCGTGGTCGGCTCTGCGTGTTGGAGATTTCCCCTATTCGAGGGGGCACGGATGAGGTCAGACACAGAAAGCCATTCTCGGGGGGAATTTTAATATTGTCTTTAAAAGAATCCAACTTGTCAGACAAGTACATAGGCTTGGTGGTTTTATGCAGATACTCATACACACACTGCAAGGTCAAGTCCCAAACAAGGAGAGCTTGGCCTATGGCCAGCGTGTTCTGCAGCCAGGGCGGATCTCAGCCGAGGCACGGCAGAGCTGACCGGGACACCTTGAGAATTCTGGCGGCAGTTCTTCCCGCCACCCAATTACACGTCAGTGTTTACTCTGGGCTTTTGGGGTACAAACTGGCTTTGTCAGCCGAGCTGGGTATCCCCGCCCAGCGGAGTGGCGGCATGAGCCTGGATGCGTGACCGAGCACTTGCGTCTTCATCTGTATCTCAGGCGGTTCTCCAGGACTTCCAGCCGCTGGGTCATCTCCTCCAGTGACTCTCAGGTTAAGGAAGACAGCTGGAATTCCCTGGCTTTGTGGACCCTCAGATACACCTGCCTTCGCCTCCATGAAAATGGAACTGTCCTGGGCCACGTGACCGCCCAGGGATCAAGGCACCTGCCGTGTGCACGAACAGCCCCTGTTGGACCCCCAGCCCTGTACGTGTCCCTGAATTCTGCCAGGAGTAACCTTGAGCACTGCTGGGTGTAGCCCGCCCCCTCCCCAACCAAACCAAACCGACTCCCATCTCAAATTGAACTCAAAAATAAAAGCGGGGCCAGAGTGATAGAACAGCAGGCAGGGCGTTTGCCTTGTACACGGCCGACCCAGGTTCGATTCCCAGCATCACCAAGAGTCCCCTTGAGCACTGTCAGGAGTGATTTCTGAGTGCAGAGCCAGGAGTAGCCCCTGAGCACTGCCGGGTACGGCCCAAAAAGCAGAAAAAAAAAATCACACACACACAAATAAATAAAAGCCTTCCTTCTTAGGGCTGCTAAGGATTTCAAAACTGACCCATGGGGCTGGTAGTACAATAGGCAAGACCTTGGCCTTGCATGTGGCCAACCTGGCACTCCATGTAATCCCCCAAACCCTGCTAGGAGTGATCCCTGAGTGCAGAGCTAGGAGTAAGCCCTGACCACCACCAGGTGTGGTCCCCACTCTCCAAAAGAAACCAAGTTGTAGGAACTTGTTTAAACAAGGTGCAGGGACTTTTATTTTATTTTATTTTTTTTTTCTTTTTGGGTCACACCCGGCAATGCACAGGGGTTATTCCTGGCTCTGCACTCAGGAATTACTCCTGGCAGCGCTCAGGGGACCATATGGGATGCTGGGAACTGAACTCAGGTCGGCTGCGTGCAAGGCAAATGCCCTACCCGCTGTGCTACTGCTCCAGCCCCGTGCAGGGACTTTTAAATGTATTTCGGGTCAGATACTTTCTAGTCAAAGCAGAGAGCTGGCTTTCATTTGATTCCATTTTGGTTTTAGCCCCGCTCTGCGGTTGGGGGGGTGACCCCCAGCAGTGCCTGGGGGGCCCTGCGGTGCTGGGAATGAAAACCAACTCCCACATGCAAAGCCTGCACCCCCGCCCCTCGGGCCAAGACCCCAGCCTGTGATTTTTATACCTAATAATTATTTCTGCTCGTGTGAGTCGGCACTAGTTGCTCTGGGAGTGTGGAGGAGAGAAAGACCTCGGGAAACAGGAAATCCGGACAAACACTTCCACCCTGGCACCAGCGTGGGCACTAGGCAGCAGCCTGGGAGAATTCAGCTGTCCTCTGTCCCTGCTCCCAGTGGCCTGTGAAGTGGACGGGCAAAGTGGCGGACTGGGACAGGAGAGGGAAGGTGACGGAAGGTGACGGGTAGCTGGACTCTGCCTCCACTCCGCCCTGCCACCAGCTTCGTGGGGCGCAAGTGAGCCAAGTTTCTGAGGGCTGCGATTCCCCACCTCCAGCACGGGAGCTGCTGTGTTCTATTCCTTGTGACATAAGCCCGCCGGCACAGAGCAAGCTCGGAATCAAACTTGGGGAGCGACCGAGGCGGGCCCAGGCCGGCCTTCCGAAATTCACTGTGATCCGGAGTTCAGCGCGGGGGCCGGGCGCACAGTCGGAAAAGCATCGAGCCCTCATTTCTCCAACATCCCCAGGCACTCCTTTCATGTGGGGTAGGACTCTAATGAGTCACCGGTTCCTGCTGCTCCCTGGACAGAATGCTGTCGTCTTTACAGTGCTGATTTATCAGAGAGTCCCTGCTAGCCACCACAGAACTCAAATAAGCCTGGTCCGGAAACCACACACACACACTCACACACACTCACACACCCCCCCCACCATACACACACACACACACACAGACATACATGCCCCACTCCCTACCCCACAATACACACACACGCCCCACCCCCACCCCATAATACACACATACACACACAACACATACACAGAGACACACACCAAGCCCCACCCACCACAGGCACACACAGACACACACACAGACACACCCCACCCACTACATACACATACACCCCACTCTGTACCCCACGACACACACATACACACACACCACTCCCACAGCACACACATACACACATACAGGCCCCACCCTCCACCCCATTACACACACACATGCCCCACCCCCACCCCATAATACACACATTCATACACACCCCACCCTACCGCACACACACGCCCCACCCCCACCCTACAACATGCACTCGTGCACACAGAGACACACACGCCCCACCCCCTAACCCCCAACACATACACACGACTCCGCAACACACACACACACACATACACACACACATACCACCCCCACCCCACAACACACACACACACACCACCCCCCACCCCACTCCCAGTAGCTGCAGCTGCCACCCAGCTATGCCTCTTGGCTCCTAATCTGGGTTTGACTCCAAACTCCTACATACCCTCGTCACTCTAGACCATTCACTGCCTCTGCAGACGGGACCCTGATGCACGTGAGACCCAGGGACGCTCCTCTGACTCGTCCCAGTGCAGGGGAGTGACACCCCTCCGTCTTTACTCCCCAGCCGACGGCCGCATGCCAGTCTGCAGAACAATCTAGAACTGCCTCGCTGTGGGCCCGTCTCGGCCCGCTGCTGTTCCTATTAAGAGCTCCCCTCCTCCCGCCGCCCTGACCGGCCTTCCTTGGCTCCCTACCCACTGAACGGGAACTAGACGGCGGGCGGCATCTCTGCACCCCTCCCGGGAGCCCGGCGGCGTCGAGAAGGATATGGCGCTGGCTCAGCTTCTGGACCTTCTCGTTGGCCAGGCTCTGGAAGGCGATCAGGTGCTTGCACTTGCACTGCTCGGGGTCCGCGTCCAAAGGGCGTCCTGAGAAAGCGGGTGCAAAGCGCTCACCTTGGTGACCCACCAGCAGCCCGGCGGGGAGCTCCGCGAGCGGCCACAGGGCTGGCCACACCAGCCTGCCCCAGAGAAGGCGGAGGGCACCTTCACACCAGCGTGGCCTAGGGCAGGTCCCCTTTATCATTTTGCGTTGCAGAGCACAGCTCTCAGGAGTCGCTTTTGGCTGTGCTGCAGGGACCCTCGGGGACTTTTCTCCCCAAGCCCGGCTTCCTGCAAGGCCGGTGCCATCCCCCTGACCTGTCTCTCAGGACCAGCCCCTTTCCTTAAGCCGATGGGCCTTCTCTCTGCCCTGTCCCACTCTTGACTTCCTGCCGTCCTGCACCTCCCCTGTGCTGGGTGCGGGAGTGGGCGTGTCCGCCGTCAGCCAGCGGCTGGGCTGGTGTTACCTGCAGTGGGGTGGGAAAGCTTCTGGGTGCCCCGCAACACATTCCCTTCTTCAAACAGATAGCGGTGCTGCACTGCAAAATTAGAACACGACAGGAGGTCTTGGATACTTATGGTGACCGGCTTGGACTCTGGAAAGAGGAGAAACTGAGGTCAAAGCTGCAGAATGCAGGACACAGTTTGGGTTTTTGTTGTTGTTGTTTGATTTCGGGGCAACACCTGACTCAGTGCTCAGGAATTGCTTCTGGCGTGCTTGGGGGACCATCTGGGGTGCTGGAGATCGAATCTGGGTCAGCCAAGTGCAAGGCAAATGCCCTTCCCCACTGTACCTGGGCCCTAAGGCCGTGTTTCTAGACCAAACTCCGGCTGTCACCGTGAGGATCTGGATGGGCAGAGCCTGCCTCCGGCCAACTGCAGTGGAGGCTGAGAGCAGAGGGGCCAAACCCCACCAAGGTCCGAAGCAGGGAGGGAAATTTTCCAGCGGTGGAGGGAAAGAAGCCATCGACAGTAGAATCCACACCTTAACTTTCTCTTGGTAACCTTCTAAGTATTTTATTTGTGGAAAAAAAAAAATTGAGGCCTGGGGCTGGAGCAATAGCACAGCGGGTAGGGCATCTGCCTTGCACGTGGCCAACCCGGGTTCGATTCCCAGCATCCCATATGGTCCCCTGAGCACCACCAGGAGTAACTCCTGAGTGCAGAGCCAGGAGGAACCCCTGTGCATCGCCAGGTGTGACCCAAAAAGCAAAAAAAATAAAATTGAGGCCAGAGAGAAGCACAGTGTGTGAGGCACTTGCCTTGCATGCAGACAACCCGTGTTTGATCCCCGGTATTCCACAGGGTCCCCCAGCACCGCCAGGAGTGCTCCCTGGGTGCGTAGCGAGGAGTAAGTCCTGAGCATTGCCAGGTGTGGTCCCCAAACAAAACAAATCTTTTGTTGTTTTTAGTGTGGGGTCACGCCAGACAGGGCTCTGGGGCTTTGCCCAACTCTCTGCTTGGGGTTATTCCCAGTCCTGCGGGTGCTTGAGATCAAAGCCTGGGCTCCCGTCCAAGCACTAGTCCTCGAGCTCCTCACTGTGTTATTTGATTTTGCATTTGGAAACCCAGCAGTGCTCAGGGGTTACTCCTGGCTCTGTGCTCAGAAGTGCCCCACCTCCCGGGGCCCATGTGTGAAGTTGGGGGATATGAACCAGGGTCAGCCACATGCCAGGAAAGTGCCTTAGCCCTGGGGTTGTACGATGTCTCCAACCTCTATTTAAAAGTGTTTTGGGGGCTGGGATGGAGCGATAGCACAGCGGGCAGGGTGTCTGCCTTGCACGTAGCCAACATGGCAGACCCGAGTTCAATTCCTCCGCTCCTCTCAGAGAGCCCGGCAAGCTACCCAGAGTATCTCGCCTGCACGGCAGAGCCTGGCAAGCTACCTGTGATGTATCCGATATGCCAAACACAGTAACAAGTCTCACAATGTTACTGTGCCCGCTCGAGCAAATCGATGAACAACGGGAGGACAGTGATAGAGTTTTTGGGGCTGGAGCAATAGCACAGCGGGTAGGGAGTTTGCCTTGCACGCGGTCGACCCGGGGTGGATTCCCAGCATCCCCGTATGTTTTACTATTTTTATTTTATAATTGCGCTTAGCATTTCATTGTGACAAGCAATATAAAATATAGGATTGTGCAGCTGCTAAGGGGGAGACTTGGGGATGGGTGCGGGGAACTGGGGAGACTCTGGTGGTGGAAAGTCACACTGGTGGTGGGACTGGTCCAGAACACTGAACGCCCAAGACGACTGTATTCGGAGCAACCATGCAAACCACGATATTTAAATAAAATTAAGAAAAAAATCTTACAGGAGCTGCACCCACTGGTGCTGGCGATCCAACCCAGAGCTTCGCAACACCCTCCCTGACACACACCCCAGTCGCAGCCCTGCCCCAGTTTCACACCCTTGCAGTCTCACACCACCCCTAAACTCACCTGCTGGCTGCTGGCCCTGATCCGGCCCCTGCGCGGGGGAGTCCTGGCTGCGGTCCGCATCTTCCAGAGCTGCAGGAGAGTCGGGGACAGTAGTGAGGCCACCTCCCAGTCTGTTCCCCACGACCCCGCGTGCCCGGCCATGCCAGGCTCCCCGTGCTCTCCAGGGAAAGGAGCCAAGGCCCCGAGATGGCACAGGAGGCAGATGGGCAGGGGAGATGTGGAGGGCGTGCGGGAGGAGCCCCTGGAGGAGTCTCAGCGCCACAGAAGCGCAGAGAGGCAGAACCTTACCCGCTGGCCCTGCGGCCCGGCCAGGCCTTCCCCGTCCCTCCCGCCTCTCTCTGTCCTTCCCTGTAGTTTCCTTTGGCCTGGGTTTTTTTGTTTGTCTGTTTGTTGGTCCACGCCCAGCTCTACTCTGGGCTGACTCCTGGCTCTCTGCTCAGGGAGCACTTCCGGAGGTGCTCGGGGGACCATGTGGGAGGCTGGGGATCGAACCCCAGCTGTGTGCAAAGCCAGCACCCTCCCTGCTGTCCTGTGAGTGCGGTCTCTGTTCTCCAGAGCAGAGAGATACGTGACAGGGACTAGCCAGTGACTGAGTCAGGGCAGCCCGGGAAGGTTGAAACTGCTGCCCTGGTCAGCCGAGCCCGGGGCGCCATGTCTGGGGTATGAGCCCCAGTTCCGATTGGGTCTCATCATATGGACTTGGGGCCACAGTGGTTGTTCAGCCGCAAGGGCATTTGCTTTTCGTACGGCCGACCCGGGTTCAAGCCCTGGCACCCCACAAGGTCCCCCGAGCCCGCCAGGAGTGACTGCTGAGTGCAGAACCAGGAGTAAGCCCTGAGCATTGCCAGGTTTGGCTATAAAACCAAAAATAGATCAATAAAATAATGAATAGAATTTAAAAGTAAAATACATTAAAATTTAAAAATAAAATACATTAAAATAAATAAATGCAAGTGACATCTGCACTTGTTTGTTTATTGCAGCAATGTTTACAATAGCCAGAATCTGGAAGAAACCCGAGTGCCCGAGAACAGATGACTGGTTAAAGAAACTCTGGTACATCTACACAATGGAATACTATGCAGCTGTTAGAAGAGATGAAGTCATAAAATTTGATTATAAGTGGATCGACATGGAGAGTATCATGCTAAGTGAAATGAGTCAGAAAGAGAGGGACAGACATAGAATGATTGCACTCATTTGTGGAATGTAAAGTAACATAGGGCTGGAGCGATAGCACATCAGGTAGGGCATTTGCCTTGCACGCGGCTGACCCGGGCTGACCCTGGTTCGATTCCTCCGCCCCTCTCAGAGAGCCCGGCAAGCTATGGAGAGATTCCCGCCCGCACGGCAAACCCTGGCAAGCTACCTGTGACGTATTCAATATGCCCAAAACAGTAACAACAAGTCTCACAATAGAGACGTTACTGGTGCCTGCTCGAGCAAATAGATGAACAACGGGAGGACAGTGACAGTGACAATAGGAGAATAACACCTAAGGATAGGAGAGATAGGGGCCAAGAGGATCGCGGCAAGGCTTGGAAGCTGATCTCCTGTGCTGGGGGAAAAGGCAGGTGGGATGGAGAAGAGACCACTAAGTAAACGACAGTTGGAGGGATCGCTCAGGAGGATCTATGTGTGCTGAAAGGAGACTATGGACCAAACATGATGGCCACTTAGTACCTGCATTGCGAACCACAACACCCAAAAGGAGAGAGTAAGAGGGAATGTGTCTGCCAGAGGCGGGGGTGGGTGGGGGGATGGGAAGGGGTGGGGGTGGCAGGAGGGATACTGGGAACACTGATGGTGGAGAATGGGCACTGGTGGAGGGATGGGCATTCGAACACTGTTTGATTGAAATGTAATCACGAACGTTTGTAAATCTGTATCTCACAGAGTCATTAAAAGGCCCTCCCGTTGTTCATGGATTTGCTCGAGCGGGCCTAGTAATGTCTCCATTGGAGATTTTGTTGTTACTGTGTTTGGCATATCGAATACGTCACGGGTGGCTTGCCAGGCTCTGCCGTGCGGGTGAGATACTCTCGGTAGCTTGCCGGGCTCTCCGAAGGGGCGGAGGAATCGAGAGAGCCCGGCAAATTTAAAAAATAGAATAAATAAGATAGACAACTATTAAAAAACAAATAAATAAATCAGCCTCAGTAGCCAGGTAAGCATAGTGACCCCTCTGGGCATCTGACTCCCCGTGTTTCTAGGCCGTCTCGCCGTGGGGTCCCCGCCCCCACGTGGTACCTTCGCAGATGCCCTTCTTCAGCTTGTCACTGATCTCTCCCATGGTACTGAAGTCCTCGGCGTAGAAAAGGTGCTTGTGGGTGGGCACCGAGGCAATCTCCTGCAGCTCCTCCTCGATGGCCTTGCCCACGCCCACAGCATACAGCGTCACACCTGTGGGCACAGCAACCGAGCAGCGGGCCCTGGCATATGGCGCTAAGGCAGAGACCCCCGAGGGGTGGCCCTCATGGGGGAGCCTGACCCCTGAGCTCCCACTGGGGAAGTCGTCGGCTACATCCCCGAATTCTGCCTGGATCCCACTTCTCTGGGGCCCAGGAGGAAACGGCATGTGACCCCGCGCCTTAGATGCTGCTTCAGCTCTTTGGCTCAGCAGCAGGAGGCTACACACACACACACACACACACACACACACACACAGTGGTCGACCCTAGACCTCCTTGGGCCACTACCCAGGCCAAATGCTCTCCAGCTGCCAGGGATACGCAAAGGCCCACTGCTTGCCAGCATGGGCGTCTTCTTCTGGCTAACTCCTTGGGCTAATTATTCTTCTTTTAAACACACATAAAATATAACCTCAAACAAAGCCTGCACAAGGTCAACAGCCAAGTTCAGCACATCTGCCTTGTGCGGCTTCCTAAGAAGGGAGAAGGAGCTTCTCGTTGTGGGCATGTGGGACTGGAGCCGTGAAGCTCAGGAGAGGCAGTTACTCCAGATCCGCCTCGCTCCCTCCCAGACCCAAGTAAATACATCTCTCCTAGAACACCCACTGGGTGACACGTGGGAATCGAGGGGTCAGGGGGACAGGGAGAGCAAAGTCCATGGTGGTCCATGGAAGGCCCAGACCTTGCCCTGGCCTATTTCTCAGAGTGAGGATGCAGGTTGGGGTGTGTGTGTGTGTGTGTGTGTGTGTGTGTGTGTGTGTGTGTGTGTGCATGTGTGTGCATGCAGGCTGGTGTGGGGGGAGGATAGCTGTCAGTTCTCAATCCTCCCAGCCTATGCAGGACACGTTCTGTGGCTTCTGCTCTCATGGGTGAAGACACCACACGTGACTTGCAAGGTCAAGTGGCCTCCTGCGTGCCAGGCCTCCGCCACTGGGCACCAGCCAGTGAGTTTATGGAGGAATGGTCTAGGCACTGTATTATTCCTTCATCCCCTAGTAAAGTAGGGACCACAGGCCAGGCTGGCCCTCAGCTCTGCACCCCTCAAGTCTTGGAAGGTGCTGGAATCTCCCCCTTCTCCTTAAAACCCCACTACACACAGTGCCCTCAGCAAGTGCTAAGAGAAGGTGTTTCCAGCCAGGGGCTGCACTGCCTCATTTTCTCCTTTCCCCAGGGAGTCCACACCCCTCCCCCGAAGCCATCGGGGCAACAATCTGACCTAGCCTGGGGTTTCCTGAGCCTCCCAGGTCCGACCTTGTATCTCATACAATGGAGCCATCCTGAACCTCGAGCATGAAACCTGGGGTCAGGAAACTCTCGGCATGGAGGAAGAGCTTAGCCAACTGCAGGACCCTCCGTCCTGCGAGTCTCAAAAGCTCACTCGGCCTCCGCACACACAGGAGCGTCTGCAGGGTATTTCCTCACTGCGTCGATTAAGGAAAAAGAAAGGCTGCTCGAGGAATAGTACCACAGGTAGGGCGTTTGCCTTGCACGCAGCCAACCCGGGTTCAATTCCTGGAACCAGGGAGGGTCCCCTGGGTCCCCCTGAGCACAGAGTCAGGAGTAAGCCCTGAGCACCTCCAGGTATGGCTCCCTTCAACAGAAAACAACCAAAAAGGAAGCAGAAATGGTTTCTGAAAAGCTCCTTCCGCTGAAAATCTTTATCAAGCTCTTCAGGGCACAAGAGTATCTCCTGGATGTTCAAGTGTTTCGAGGCTCTACACTGCGGCCACTAGAGGGCAGTCAAGGCGGGTGGGCGGAGAATTGACAGGAAGCCCTTCTGCACTCTCAAAGAACTCTCACTCCTCTCTCTAGCCCCAACTCTGGAATCAGATGCTCGGTAGCAGGACCTCCCTCCCAACCCCTATTACCATTGGCCTTGGCTTTATTGGCCCACTCAGAGACGTCATCCTGGGCCCGCCCGTCGGTGAACACGATGGCCACGCGCGGCACCCGACTGGAGAGAGGCCTGGCTCCTTCCACCTGGGTGAAGCTTCTTTCAAACATGTGTTTGAGCGCCAGGCCTGTCATGGATCCCTTGCCCATGTACTTCATGTAGGCCACGGCCTTCTTCATGTCCTTGGCGGAGCTGAAGTCCCGCAGGGAGAACTCTGAGCGGACCTGTGTGGAGTACTGGAGCAGCCCCACACGCGCCGCTTTGGGGGACACGGCCAGGGAGTCGATGATGCCCGTGACAAACTGCTTCACAATCTCAAAGTTCTCTTCCCCGAGGCTCTTGGATCCATCGATCACGAAGACCAAATCGATGGGGCCTTCCGTGCACCCTAGGGCAAGGAAAAGACAGCTGACGCATCTGAAGGATCAAAACAAAATCCCTTCCTCACAGACGTGAAGAAAATCGTGCTTTGGAGGGAGAGAGAAAGACCTGGAGAAGCTCCTCTACTCAGCCCGAGAGGGTCGGCGGGTGGCAGGAGGCACCAGAACTCAGCACCAGCACGGTCCCCTGGGCCTTCAACCAGACGAGCGAACTGATCAAAACAGTTCATTTTCACTAGCAGAAAAAACACAGCCCAAGTGCAAACTGTCCGAGGAATCAGACCGCACAGCACCCAGGAGAAGCCTCTAGCTTCACTCTGCAAGGGCGGCACCACCCGCCCCCTGCACTCACCCCCCCTACCCCCCGCACGCTGACAGACCACAGAGCACTGTCCCCCAACGTCAACATTTTCCTGGAGCCACACTAAGGAGGGTTGCACTTGGCAGTCCTCACTCATTCCAGCAGTGGGGGCTCCAGAGGGGGCTGGGAGCAAAGCAGGGGGACCAGCTGGATGGTGACGGAGACCACGGTAAGTACCTCAGCGTAGAGCAGCTGAGAGGCTGGCACCCCAGGGCAGAAGGCGCCCTAGACAGCTCCTCCTTGGCGGGATTACTGATCTCAGCCCCTAACACCCGGTACCCATCAGTGCTCATCAAACACAGATAGCCGGGGGCAGGGGCGAGCACAGAGGTGGTGCAGGTCATGCGTGCAAGCCCCTTGCTGAGCCAGCAGTCCTGGAGGCCCGGCCAGAAGCACTGCAGGGCACTTAGGGGCCGACGCTCACTGCTTCAAGCCATCTGGACGGGGAAGGAATTTTTTGGTTGTTGTTATTGAGGGCTGCCTCTGAAAAACTCACAGCTCCCAAACGGCTGATCTCATTTCCAACCGTCTCCAGGATGCGATAACACATTCTCTTTTATCTACCAAGCAGCTGCCTCATCTCTGCGAGTGAAACAAAACAACCTAGGCAAGAGCCACACACGGAGAAATATTTCCAGGCTTGGCCTCAAGAGCGTGTGAAACGTTAATTGCGTGTGTGTGTCGGGGCGGGGGTTGGAGTGAGGGCCAGGCAAACACCCATGTTGGAAAGTTCCTTTTTCTCCTTCTCATCGGTCCTCCTCACTCAAGACCTATCGATCATGCATCAGTCGGAAAGGAAAAGGCCAATTCTGAGCTTGGTGGAGATTCACAGTCAGCAGGAACCAGCCACAAAGACCCAGCAGGGAGCGAGAGACCCTCCCACTGGCATCCTGGCACGCCAGACGCATTTCCAGCAGTGAGCCTGTCTTTCTCGTTGTCCCCACCACACATGCCTTCTTTCCCGACAAAACCAGCACTGCAGCCTCGAGCAAAGAGAGCAGGGGAGGGGTCTGTGGGCAGTCAGAATGCTGGGTGCAGAGGGAGACGCACGGGATAGGGCGCCCAGTGCTGATGGCTCATGGGTCTCCAAGCCGAAGGGACGGCGTGGACATCCCATGGCCACACAAGTGTTCCAAGCTGGGTTCGTCACCTGTGCACCCCCTCAGCTGGCCATACAGCTTCTCAGATTGTCTTTTTGTGGTCTTTCTCTCCTGGGGGGGGTCATCTTGGGCAGTGCACCCATGGACCCATGCTGACCATCACTCGGACACCTCAAGTCCTTTCTACAAAGATCCCTGGTTTCTTGCCTGATTTTTCACTGGATTTCATACTAAAATATCTCACCACCGTGCTTTCTTTCTAAATCTTGTTTGTCTTTTCCATAATGCACATAGATGGGGAGCCCAAAGGGGATGCATTTGTGTCAGGGATGTGCTTCCAGGAATCGAGACACTGCAGAGTGCATGTGAAGGCCTGGGTTCGATCCCCAGCAACTCATGTCTCCCTGAGCACTCCTGGGGTGGTCCTCATGGCACCCAGCATCCACAGACTGTCCCCAACAATACAAACATGGCTTGAGGTGTGTGTATAGCTATGTCTATACATCATTCCTTATCAATCGCTCCATTGTTTTAGTTCTATCATCTGCATATCAGCCGGATCAACCAACCTATCACCTCATTCCAGAACGTCTGTCTGAAGGAGACTTTTTCGAAATACAGTCATTTAATCAACCCTAAAACACTGAACCAGCAGGGGCTGGAGAGAGAGTACCAGAGCGTGCAAATTCTTGCCTGATCTCACAGAAGCCCTTTCTGATAAACATGCAGTGAAACATCAGGAAAAATGAGTTTTCAGCAAGAGACGAAAGTTAGGGGTCAGAGAGACAGGACAGCGGGAGGGCGCTTCCTGGCCCGTGGCTGAGGGGGTCGAGTCCCCACTACCTGAGGATGCAAATACACACGTTAGGTGTCCTCTCTGTTACCTGTTGGCCCTCCGATCGGAAGTCTGGCTCATTCTCCCGGGGGCTCTTGGGGACCCCCGGGGCCAGCCTGGAGATCAGTCTGGCCACCTGATGGACAGTTCCCTTGCAGGTTTCTACCTCACCCGCATGTGCTCACAAAGCCACACACACTGCTAGATATTTCGTGCATCACGAAAGCAGAAACTGCTCAGCGTCATCTCTGAGAGGGCCAGCAAAAGTCAGTGCCCTGAACAGAACAGCAGTCGGGGCTTAAAGTACAGAATACAGGAAGTGGCTCCAGGTGTGGCTCCAGGACATCTTAGGAGAAGGGGGGAAAATAAAAGCCCAGTCGTCTGGGAGAGAGACGTCCGGCTGAACCCGGGCTCACGGCCTTCCCGCTCCCCTCTGCACACGTGACTCCCAGGCTCAGTCCCTGAGCATTGTCAGGATCAATCCCCCAAACACAGAGCCAGGAGCGGCCCTGAGTACCTTCAGGCAGGACCCCAAACTAAAAGATTCTGCTAATAAAAACAAAAACAAAAACAAACAAGCAAAACCATCTTTCCATCTTTTTAATGCCTTCATTACTCAGGGGACCAGTGTGGTGCCTCTTTTTTTTTTTCTTTTTGGGTCACACCCAGCAATGCACAGGGGTTACTCCTGGCTCTGCACTCAGGAGTCACTCCTGGCGGTGCTCAGGGGACCATATGGGATGCTGGGAACCGAACCCGGGTCGGCCGCGTGCATGGCAAATGCCCTACCCGCTGTGCTATCTCTCCAGCCCCAGCGTTTTAAACTGGGGTGGGCCACAGTGCCCTCCCGGCTGTATGTCTCCCGGACCCAAGTCTCCTCCTTCCATACTGCACCCCTCGGTCCCTTGCCCTCACCTGCAGCGCCCCAAGGAAACTCAATTCCCCAGCACGGAGCCAGGCACAGACAGCCCTGGTCCCCTCATTCCAGGCTTCCTCACTCCGCCCCGGACCCTCTGGGCCGGACACTGAGGGTGCCAGAAACCCAGAGGCCAGGAAATCTCCTGCTGGGCCCCTGGCGAAGGAGGCCCCGGAGCTGCCCCCACGCTCGCCCCCAGCCCCAGGAAGCGTCACTCACGCTTGCAGCGTCTCCCGTCCTCGGCCAGCACGAAGCCCTCGGAGCACTTGCAGACGTAGGAGCTGCCGTGGTTCACACACATGTGCTCACAGCCGTGCGCGGTGGACTTGCACACGTCCTTCCCTGGAGGGAGCCAGGCCGAGGGCAGGGGCGTCAGCGCGCGAGGGGGCTGCGGGACCACCAGTGTGGACGCTGTCCCATCCTCGGGGCCTCCAGCCCTAACGGTGACCTGCAGACACACAGCTCCCAGGCTTTCACTGTTGTCTTTTGATTTCTTAGTTTACTGTTTGGGGGTTACACCCAGCGGTGCTCGGGCCTTGCTCCTGGCTCAGCACTTAGGGGTCACTTCTGGTGGGGCTTGGGAGAACGTGGGGTGCCGGGAATGGAACCTGGGTCAGACATGTCCTTGGCAAGAGACCTCCCCGCTGTGCTGTCGCCTCACTGTGCTGGGTGTGGTATCATTAGCACGGGAGCACTGTCCTCCCATTGTTCATCGATTTGCTCGAGCGGGCACCAGTAGCATCTCCATGGTGAGGCTTGTTGTTACTGTTTTTGGCGAATACACCACAGGGAGCTTGCCAGCGGGTAAGGGGTTTGCCTAGCATGCAGCCGGCCCAGGTTTGATTCCTCCGTCCCTCTCGGAGAGTCCGGCAAGCTACTGAGAGTATCCCACCCACACGGCAGAGCCTGGCAAGCTCCCCGTGGCGTATTCGATACGCCAAAAACAGTAACAAGTCTCACAATGGAGATGCTACTGGTGCCCGCACTCCAGTCTCACACTCCAGTGCAGTGTTTGTGGTATCACTGATTATCATTAATAGAGGGTTACTGACATTGTGGCCACCAGCCCAAATGGCAAGGTGGGAGGAGATCTGGGGGTCCTGGACTTTCCAGCATCATTATTCGCATCATCGTCCAGGTCTCGTGGCATATAAGCCTGAACACATACCAGGTGGATTTAGTATTAATATTTAAAATTAGGCTGCAGAGGCTGGAGCGATAGCACAGCGGGGAGGGCGTTTGCCTTGCACGCAGCCAACATGGCCGACACAGGTTCGATTCCCAGCACCCCAGATGGTCCCCCGAGCACCGCCAGGAGTAATTCCTGAGTGCATGAGCCAGGAGGAACCCCTGAGCATCGCCGGGTGTGACTCAAAAAGCAAAAATAAAATAAAATAAAATTAAGCTGCAGAGATAGCACAGTGGGGAGGGCATTGACCTTGCACGTGGCCAACCCAGTTTCGATCCCCGGCATCTCTACGGTCCCCCAAGCCCGCCGCAAGTAACTCCTGAGTGCAGAGCCAGGAGTAACCTCTGAGCATCGCTGGGTGTGTCCCCACACCCAAAAAAGAAATATTGATGTGCTTTGGGTTTTGATTTTCCCCAGAGGCTCATTCCCCTGCCACAGATTTCCCAAGTACTCCAGCGTTTTAAAATTTTATTTTTTTTTTGCTTTTTGGGTCACACCTGGCAATGCACAGGGGTTACTCCTGGCTCTGCACTCAGGAGTCACTCCTGGCGGTGCTCAGGGGACCCGATGGGATGCTGGGAATCGAACCCGGGTCGGCCGCGTGCATGGCAAATGCCCTACCCGCTGTGCTATCTCTCCAGCCCCAGCGTTTTAAAATTTTTAACTTGAAAAAAATGCACTTATTAATTTGGGGCGGGAAGCAGCAATCAAACCCAAGGCCCCACCCATCCAGAGTGGGCGCTGGATCACTCAGCTTCACGAATGGTGCCTCGCGCTGTGTCTTACATGACGTGACTGTGGAACTGGAGTTTGTGAGGACAGCAGATTCCTCTCCAGAGGGAAAGACAGCGGAGGAGGAAGCGGGAATTTTGTTTCCAGGAGCTTGGGGACTCACCAGCCACAGGGCACTTCCCTTCCGGTCAACCACAGCCAGAGGCTGTCTGAAGCCACCCCTCCCCGCCACACACAAATAAAGCATGCTCTCCACACAACCCCCCCACACACATCACAGCCAGACACGACACACACACAAACCGCAATCATACACACCAAACACACACCATACAACGTGCAATCCACACACACCACATACACATAACACACACCTACCACAATCACACAGGCACACACCATACACCCCACACAACACTATACAACATGCAACATGCCCCACACAATACACAGCGACACACATATACCACATATCACACGTACACACACAATATAGACACAACACACAGACACAACACACACCACACAACACACACTCTACAGCCCGCCCACATACACCATGCAACACACAACACACTCATATGTCACACCACAAAGCACACTCTACAGAACACATGCCACACACCCCACCTACCTCCACCGTTACAACACAATGCACACACACACACCACACACAGCAGTAAGCCCGCCTTGGAACCTGCTGATTGACACAAAGGGCCACCCCTTAGTCCCTCTCATTCTCCCTCCTCCCTCCTCCCTTCCTTCTCTTCCTTTCTTTTTTTTGGGGGGGGTCATTGGCCCACACTTGGCAATGCTCAGGGGTTACTCCTAGTGGACTTGGGGAACCATACGGGACCCCAGGACGGCCTCCCTGCAGTACTGCTGCTCCAGCCCCCACCCACCCCCGCCCCATCACCACCACTTCCTCACCACGACTCCTGGAAGAGCCCCCAGGCCTGCAGACTGGGTCACAGGTACGGGGTTCAAGATGCGGGCGCAAGGCACCCCACACCTTTTGCCAGGGTAAGGGCCGTCCAAAGCCCCCCAGCGGGGCCTGGGCCAAGGAGTAGTGGCGGGCAGAGGGGTGGCAGCCGAGCCCGAGAGAGTCGCTACCCCACCAGCACTCACGGCGGCAGCGCCTCCCGTCGGGGGCCAGGCGGAAGCCGTCCCTGCACCTGCAGCTGTAGGATGAGCCGCTGCTCACGCACAGGTGCTCACAGTCGTGCGTCCCCTCCTGGCAGGCGTCTCTCTCTGGGGACAGAACGTGGTATCAGACCCTCCCTGCCTCATCCTGCTACCCTGCCATCCACCCATCCACCCACCCACCCACCCACCCATCCATCTACCCACCCATCCATTCACCCATGCAACCTTCCACCCATCCACCCACCCATCCCTTCACCCATTCACCCACCCATCCACCCACTCACCCATTCATCCATCTCTCCACTCACCCACCCATCCATCTCTCTACCCACCCATCCACCCACCTATCCCTCCATCCATGTATCTATATACCCATCCACCCACCCACCCACCCACCCAACCATCCACCCATCCATCCATCCATCCATCCATCCATCCATCCATCCACCCACCCACCCACCCATCCACCCAACCATCCACCCACCCACCCATCCATCCACCCATCCATCCATCCATCCACCCAACCATCCACCCATCCATCCATCCATCCATCCACCCAACCATCCATCCATCCATCCACCCATCCACCCAACCATCCATCCATCCATCCATCCACCCAACCATCCATCCATCCATCCATCCATCCATCCACCCACCCATCCATCCACCCACCCATCCATCCACCCACCCATCCACCCACCCATCCACCCAACCATCCATCCATCCATCCATCCATCCATCCATCCATCCATCCATCCATCCACCCACCCATCCACCCACCCATCCACCCAACCATCCACCCAACCATCCACCCAACCATGCATCCATCCATCCATCCATCCATCCATCCATCCATCCATCCATCTATCCATCCATCCACCCACCCATCCACCCAACCATCCACCCAACCATCCACCCAACCATCCATCCATCCATCCATCCACCCACCCATTTATCCTACACATCTACCTATCCCTCCATCCCTGCAACCACCCACCCACCCACACATCTACCTACCCATCTGTCCTGTGACCCAACCACCCACTCAATCAACCCAGCAACCCACCCATCCAGCCACCCCCCATCCATCCTCCATTCACCTATTCCTCCATTCTTCCCCCACCCAGTCACCCATCCCTTCATCTATCCATCTAACCATCCATCCATTCAACCACCCAATCAACCATCCACCAATGTGCCCTCCCAACTATGTCACCCTCTACCCAGGGACCCCAGGGATGGGGGTGGGGTGAAGGAAAAGAGGTGTTGGACGGAGCTCAGGGACAGGGGACAGGCTCGGCTCAGGGGCTATTTCTGTCTCTGTGCTCGGGAGCAATGCCTTGTTTGTTAGGGAGGATTTTCACTCTCGCTATGCTCTGGGCATACTCCTGGCTCTGTGCTCAGGGGTCACTCCTGGAGGGCCTTAGAGAACCGGGGATCGAACCTGAGTCAGGCACATGCAAGGCAAACGCTTTACCCCTGTACCATCTCTCCAGCCTCTTTTTGTGGACTTTTATTTGGGGGTTAATAGGAGTGACCCCTGGCGGTGCTCCAGGGGCCAGGTGATGACGGGGTGCTAGGGATCAAGACGCAGTGACATGCGAGGTAAGTGCCGTGACCACTGTACCATGTCTGGACTCCTGCCTCCCCACTTCAAACTGTCAACCAGAGTTTCTGTCTGTAAAGGGTTTTGAGCGGGTTTTGGTCCTGGTTTCACTTTGTTCTGAGCAGCTGGAGGCGGACCATGACCAGAATCATTTCCCCTGGGATCAGCCAGCGCTGTGGTGAGACCCCATCTAGGGCACAGGTTTTTTCGGAGAGGGCCACATACCTGGCAGTGTTCCGGGGACAGGATGTGGAGCTGGGTACTAAGCTGGGTCTCAGAGGGCAAGGCCAGCACCTTCATCCCTGTCCTCCTGCCTCTCTGGACCCTGCACTCAGATTCTTACACTGCAGGGGGAGCGCCCTACCCATCAGCTTCTCTGTGGGTCAGGTTCTTGTTGCATTAGGGCAGCTTTAGAAAAAGCAAGACAGTAGCAACTTCTCACAAAACCCAGAGAGAGCTTTCCTCATCAACCGTATCTACCTAGAGAACACATTTGTTCCCACAAAAAAGAGCCAATACTGCTATTGCTCTCAAGATTGCTTCAAACAGAGGCCAAAGAGAAAGGGTACAGTGGAGGGTGTGGGAGGGGTGCTTGTCTTACATGTGACCGACCTGGGTTTGATCCCTGGCATCCCATATGGCCCCCCGAGTCCCCTGACTGGCTGACACGAGGAGTTATTCCTGAGTGCAGAGCCAGGAGTAACTCCTGAGCATCGCCGGGTGTGACTCAAACACCAAAACAATTTTTGAAAGAGCATTCCTACCCAGTGGCCCAGATTCTGTTTGGGAATCCCACATTCCCACTAAGTGGCCTGGTGGCATCCAAGTGGCTTCTGGAGCACCCAGGGATCAGACTATGGGTTTCTAAAGAAGTCAGATGCAGCCACGATGGCTGATGCCACTAAAAACAGCCTCCGGGGCTGGAGAAATAGCAGAAGGCTTAAGGCAAACTCTAGTTCAAATTCCTGGGAGCATGTATACTCCCCTGGGTGGCCACCAGGGGGCACACATGAGCACAGAGCCAGGTGAGGTCCCCGGGGGCCCCAAACCCCCAAATCAGAAGTCCCCACTTACTCCTACAGCCTTTGCCGTCCTGGGTGAGCGTGTATCCCTCGAAGCACCGGCACACAAAGGAGTCGCCGCGGCTGACACAGGAATGCTCACAGCCGTGGTCCCCCAGGGCACACGCATCCAATTCTGGGCGTCCAGGTCACAAAAGAGAAATGAAATGGGGAATGATTCGGGAAAACAGAGATTTCTTCCATCTTCAAAGCCATTTTAGACCCTTGAAACTGAAACAGTCCTGGATCCCCACGGTGACATTTCTGGACAGAAAGTGGGTCTCTGTGCAAGAATTCCCAACATAATGCAAAATAAAATGACTGAGCGTCTGCTTGTGGGCGGGCTGAGATGGTGATGGGAAAATTCAAAAGAATGGTGGGGGAGAGGTGTAATGGTGGTGGGATTGGTGTTGAAATGTTGAGTGTAAAGAACTATTGTCAACAGCCTTATGAAATTTTTTAATTTGTAAAACTGTCACTATCCTCCCGTTGTTCATCGATTTGCTCGAGCGGGCCCAGTAACGTCTCCATTGGAGACTCTGTTGTTACTGTGTCTGGCATATTGAATACGTCACGGGGAGCTTGCCAGGCTCTGCCGTGCGGGCGAGATACTCTCGGTAGCTTGCCGGGCTCTCCGAGAGGGGCAGAGGAATCGAACTCGGGTCGGCCATGTTGGCTGCGTGCAAGGCAAACGCCCTACCGCTGTGCTAAAATGTTTAAAAATCCCCAACGAGGGGCTGGAGCAATAGCATAGCAAGTAGGGTGTTTGCCTTGCACATGGCCGACCCAGGTTCGATTCCCAGGGGAAATTCCTGAGTGCAGAGCCAGGAGTAACCCCTGTGCATCACCGGGAGTGACCCAGAAAGCAAAAAAAAAAAAAATCCCCAACATATGGGGCAGAGCCAAAGGGCACTGGGTGCTCTGCACACAGTCAGCCTGGGTTCAATCCCCAGCATCACATAAGGTCTCCCGAGCCCCACCAGGAATGATTCCTGAGCAAGAAACAGGACTAGTTCTCAGTGTGTGCACGCACACATGCTCGTGCACACACACACACACACACACACACACACACACACACACCCCTTAAAGTAGAAAGAGCTCATACAGACACAACCACATTGCTGGCCCCAGGGGATGTGTGAAGCAAAGATATGAAAAGTCTGGAGAAATAATGTCTCCAAGATGAAGAAAGACAAGTCAGTCCTTTGCAACAAATCAGACATAAAAGGACTGAAAAGATCTGAAATTGAGTTCGGTTCTGCTGGTTATCCAGTCACTGCCACATCAGTTCAACTTCCGGCCTACTTCGGCACACAGATGAAGTGCCGCCCTAGGACCCACTCAGTTGCCAGCAAATTTTCCTCCAAGTCCTGACTCGCTGTCCTGGCACCAGTGAGCTCACAGTGACTCAAGTGAAGTCTGCTTTGGGGCAGGTATGAGTACGCGTTGGGGAAAGGGTTACCAAGAAAAAGCAAGTTCAGGGACTCCGAGACTGCCCATGTTGGGGCCAGAGTGATAGCACAGTGGGTAGCGCACTTACCTTGCACATGAGAGACCAGGGTTTGATCCCCGGCATCCCATCTGGTCCCCTGAGCACTGCCAGGAGTGTTCCCGAGTTCAGAGTCAGGAGTAAGCTCTGAGCACTATCAGATGTGGTCCCTAAACCAAAGACTGCCCAGGGCCTAGGGCATGCAGACAGCCTGTTTATTCCTGCACTGCAGATGGGGAAGAACAGCACCCCCAGGAAACACGGTACTTGCCACTCGCAGAGGCCGGGTGGGATCCCTGGAGCCTGGCCGGCCACAGGGCAGACGGGGACAGCAGACAGGACAGTGATGGGGCCTGGGCATGAGGCTTGTCCTCGGAAATGAGGCGAGGGTGCCGACAGCGGCTAGGCCGAGACACGGGCACATGGGGCCGTGCCCTAAGGTGGAGCCTATGACAGCAGCAGAGGGTCCCTATGGCGTGGGGGGGGAGGGAAGTTTCTGGGGACTGGCCTTGGTAGCCCCTGCTTGCTTTCCCTGGGAAGGGAATGAGCAGGGGAAAAGCTTGGTGTGTGGGGGCCACATGCCCTGGCGGTTGACCCTGTTAAGGGGGTCGAAAGGAAGGCTGCGCTCCGTCCACCTGGGTTGGGCCAGGAGCCACATTCTCATTCCTGTCCTGTTTTGCTGAGAAAGTTCGAGGGAACTGCCCGCATTTGCAGCTGCAACGCAGGATAACAGATAGCATCGCCCTCTTGGCTTGTAACCCTTGGCTTCCCCAGAGTATTCACTGAGTACTACAAGAGTCAATGAGCTTTGCAACAAAGAGTCAACGAGCTTTGCAACAAAGAATCAATGAGCTTTGCAACAAAGAGTCAATGAGCTTTGCAACAAAGTCGCCGTAAGCCTCACACAGTCCCCTCCACCTATCTTCAGCTCTCATTCCTTCTCTGCTACAGGTCGAGGAAGGCCATCACTGCCAACCAAGCCCGGGCTGGCCCGAGTCTCTGAACCCATGAAGACCAGGAAGAACAATGGCGATGGTGATGATGATGATGGATGGTTTGGGCCACCCCTGGCAGTGCTCCAGACTTATTCTCAGCTCAGTGCTCAGGGATGACACCTACTGGTGTTCAGGGGCCAGAGGCAGTGACTGGGGATCAAACCCAGGTTGGTCCTGGGCAAGGTGTGAAGTACCTTAAATCCCTTATTCTTCTTCGTTGTCGCGATTACGGTGGGCACCTCTCCTGGGGGGAGCAAACCCAGGCTTCCTGCAACACCTGCTTCCTGCCACTCCCCACGGCGCACGCCCGTTACTGCTTTAATTGGTTTAGCCAGAAAACAGCCACAGACCATCCCCGCCCCCCACCAACCCACAAGGCATTCCTAAAGTATTTTTTTTCCTCTTTATTTTATTTTTTTTTTTATTTTTTGCTTTTTGGGGTCACACCAGTGATGCTCAGGGCTTACTCCTGGCAGTGCTTGGGGGACCCTTATGAGATGCTGGGGATTGAACTCGGGCCGACTTCGTACAAGGCAAATGCCCTCCCCGCTGTGCTGTCGCTCTGGCCTCTCCTGAAATATTTCTTGCTGGAGGGAAAACCCCTCCCGTGGTCAGCCCCAACGGCCCCCCTCACCAGTCCGGGAAAGAAAGCCGGAGCCTCGCCAAGATCAAGCACTAATGAGCAGGCGTGCCCGCCTCGACACCGACTCTGGACAGGACCATGACCGCCCTGCTCCCCCCTCACACCTCACGGGGCTCCTCGAGGAAGCTCTCAGACACGGAGATTCCGTCTTCCTTGGGGAAACGCGCCCGTCAGCTTCTGGAAGCGCTGCCAAAGCCCTGGGACTCAGGAGAGTGTGCTGGAAACTGAACCGCAGAGGAGAATCTGGCTCAGGACCCCAGGCCTCCGCCACTCCTGATTCATGCAGAGCCTTTCCGGAAGACTCAGGGTCGCCCCGCATGGACCGGGAAGAGGAAACAGAGCCCCAGATGCCAAAAAATGCAGCCGGCCAGCTGGCCCTGGAGGTGGGTCTCCCCACCCTCCCCCTGCCTGAATCCTGAGTGAGAATATTCACTGTCGAAGGGAAGTCACAATTGGGACAGCCTCGGGCTCCGCTTTCCCCTGCAGACTGGGGGCTTGGCAGGACAGCGGGAAGGTCTCACACACAGCTGACCTGCTTCCATCTCCAGCACCCCAGAGTGTCCCCGGGGCCCCTCCAGGCGTGTCCCTGAGTGCAGGTCCAGGAGGAGGCCTGGAGCACTGCCAAGTGTGCTTCCCGACGAGAATTAGAAAAGCAGAAGCAGGGGAATCCCTCCCAGGCCCCCCCACCCCAGCTAGTGATCTAGGCCTGAGCCCAGCAACCCCCTCCCCCAGGCTCTCCCCCAGCCATGGAGCACTGGCCTGGCCGCTGACCCTCCTGGGACCCTGGGCATGAAGCACTCGCCTGGCTGCTGACCCTCCGGGACCCCAGGCATGGAACACTGGCCTGGCCGCTGACCCTCCTGGGACCCTGGGCATGAAGCACTGGCCTGGCCGCTGACCCTCCGGGACCCCAGGCATGGAACACTGGCCTGGCCGCTGACCCTCCTGGGAGCCAAGTCCCTGATCTGCAGCACACCTGGGCTTCCGCGGTCCCAGGTCTTCAGAATCATTGCACGCTTGGAAAAAATCCGTAGCTGGGCTGGAGGGGAAAGGGGTGCCAGGAGGGGTTCAATGTTCCCCTCTTTGCCCCACTCCCTGGTCGGGGGTGGGGGGGAGTGCTGAGCGCCCCCCTGTGGCATGCAGCTACCTGCACTGGGGCCCTTCCGCCCTGCACCTTCGCCGCGGTGCTCCTCTGCACGTGCACAGTGCTCACACTTGGATAAGGGGCAAGGGGTGGACTAAAAAAAAGCCATAAGCAGCCCAAGCAGGAGACGCCGGGGATCGGAGGGTATCAACAGACTCCCCCCACACACACTTCCAGAAAGCAGCCAGCCAGCGGAGGAGCAAGGGAGCCCCCTGGGTGGGGACATAGACCATCTCGGACAGGGACCACTGAGTGCCAGCAGAACGCACACAGCACGTGAGTGAGAGAGGGGAGGGAAGGAAAACGCTGTGTGGGCTGAGATTTCCCAAAGAGAAACCCCAGAGATGCAGACAGTGTGTACGGTCAGGCTGTGTAACAGTCACTGTCCAGCCACGAGTTACTGAGAGCACTACAAGGGGCGGGGACGATCACGGTGACGTTTGGATTTCTGGTCAGAGAGGTGATGGTGCGGTTCGGGTGCCTGCCTTGAGGTTAGGGTGCTTCCCTCGCATGCGCTGACCCTGATTCCATCCGTGCCACTGGCAGGCGTGAGTCCCAAGTGTGGAGCCAGCAGGGAGCCCTGATCACAGCAGGTGCACCCACCCGACCACCCCCCCACCGAAAGCAGGCGTGCGTGTAGCAAGGGACCTTTCCCTGGTGCTTTCGGATCGTGGTGGCAGAGCACACTACACGCGTGTTGGCACGTGTATCTTCACGGGGTAGATGTCACATACATCCAGGGCCGGCTGTGGGGTCCAGGGCTCCTTCCACACAAGGCCAGGCCCTCAGAAGCTGCCCCATCTCAGTGTGGTTGTTATCCTTTGGAAGGGGGACCTGGGGTCCCCCCAGTGAAGGTCAAGGG